GAACGAGTGAGGGCAAAGTAAGGATTTTCTAAAACCATTCCTTTGCATACTACACACTTTCCCCACCTTTAAGGCAGTAAGGGTGAGATTCATGAGTAAATATACCGTGGTTATCTGTGGAACTGAATTATTTTCAATGTATTGTAATGCTTTGGGGTTCAGACAGGCGGAAGAGAGATCTCCCCACAGCCCAGCGGCTGTGGGCCCTGCTATTACAGGGAAGGGCGGTGAAGTCACCGCTCTGGTAAGCCGGCTTTCACACTCAATGGTGGCCGTAAGAGTTACAGTATTTTAACATCTGTGACCGTCCAGAAAAGAGAGGGAAAAAAATCAAATTTTGCTGTGCAAATAATTAGTGTTACAGCATTATCATACTTTAAAGAGTACTTTTAAAATTGCTCCTCTCTGATGCTTGAGCAATTCATACTCTGTCAGTCATGGTGTACCATCTCTTTCTCTTTTAAAAATTGAATCACTCTATTCATAGCTATCCCAATGGGACACAGCCACGTCTAATCCATGCTATGGCTGAATGCTTTGCTGGAAGGATTGAGGCCTTTCTTAATTTGATTTTAATAGACAAAGGCACACCACTACTAACTGCCATTGAGAAACCCATGGGAAATTGAGTTTTGTCAGCACAGGAATAATCACTTCATGCTCTGGCATAGTTAAACAAATTCACAGTAAATTCTGGGGGTTGAAAATATGGCTAGGACTAGTGACTGAGGTACTGTAGGGTTTGGATTATACCTTTGTATTTCATTGTATGTTTATGTGTTGAAGTGGGGGAACTATTAGGGGAGGTAATGCCAGTCTTTCTGGTGTTGCACAATCTGTATTTCCAGATACTGTAAAATGTTAGTAGAGTTGCTGGAGTATAAAGTTGGTTGGGTCCCCTTTTCATGCCATAAAGGCCCATGGGGGAAGGGCCATCATTTTCCTCAACCATCCTGGACATGCAAGTGATGTGGTCAACATCACACTCCAGCCAGCCTATTACCCCTAGCAGGATTAACACCTGACACTCATTTTGAAAGCAGGCTGAGTGGACCTGAGAGCCATCTAGGAGAAATTAGAGTAAGCTATATAATTTGCCCCTACCTGGTTTTGAATCCAGGACCTTCTGGTCAGGAGCTAAACACCCTTCTCATCCAAGCTACAACAGTTCCCTGTTCTGTTTTAGTCATATTGTTGAAGAGACACCCCAGAAGAAATGGCTTTTTTTGGGCAAAATCGCCTCCTCTCATTTGTAACCTTTCTCATATTCTTATGGCAAGAGCAATATGGCACATTATGTCGGGATAATGAGTCTGGGATTTGAAGCCTTCTGTGGGACTTTACTTGTTCTCCCCATAATGGTTTGGATTCTTTCTGCAGCTTCCTTCCAACATTCAAAGAGATGAAGGTTGGGTTAATACTGTCTGTAAATTGTCTGTGTGTGATCTTTGATGCACTGTAAACTAGTCATAAAATTATACATCAACCATCTAATACTACTACAGGTACTAATACTGTACATACTGTACACATTCAAAGAGACATTCAGAAATTGGCTTTTGCATGACCGCACAGATGAGAAGGTGTATCTTGAGCAGTTGTGGGCCCATAATATCATGCTTTATTATTAGACATATGGTACATTCTTATTAATATTTACATGATCATTTTTGCTATATACTATAGGAATTTGCATTTCAGATCAAAAGATAAATACATGGCAAAAGAACATAATGTCAGCTTTTATTGCTGGATAGTTTTGTGCTTACATGTTAAACAGGTTGAGTGTGCAGTGTATTTGGGGTCATTGTCTTGCTCAGGGTGACCAGCTGCGAAATATATTTGCAGGCAGTTTAGGACATGAGTTTTGAATGTTCTCTGGACCTTCAGTCTGTAGGTTAGGAAAATATTGTGGTAGAGACATACAAAAATACATCTGCAATGTAAGAGGGAGCAGGCTGGTTACTGGAGAAAAACTGCCATGTAAAATGATGTGTACAACTTCGTCTTCTCTCAAATACCTTAAACCTAAGCAGTCAAAGTCCTGTCATCGAGCATTGTCTCAGATTTTTCTCTGCTCCTGCAGCTACCAAAATTACTGGACTTCCATATACAAATAGTTTTGAAAAATTTCCTGTAAAAACAGCTGGGAAGCTTTTATTGGTTAAAACGAATTGTTGTTACATATTTTGTGTTTTGAATTTTGCAGGAATTTTGTGGACACAGACAGACAACATGTTTCTGTACACTCCAGAAATAGTTTGCCTTCTACGATCATCCGTTACATAATCAGTACAGACCAGGGAGACAGTTCTCATTGTGGCCATGGAATCACAAGTCATGACACTGCCTCCACCATGATTCACAGATAAAGTGGTGTGCTTAGGATTGTTTGCATTTCATCAATTTCTCCACATTTTTGCCATTTTTGTCACTTAAATAAAAGTCTGGGTAAGATAAAAGATAAAAGACAACTCTGTAGTTCAACTCTCTAGTCTTCATCTTTGTTTATGCCTTATAATTCAAGAGTTAGAACACAAAAGTAAATTCTAAAGACTGGAACCAAAGATAGACATTCACTGCTCTTTTAGATAGATAGATAGATAGATAAGACTTTATTGATCCTGAAGGAAAATTGATGTGCTACAGCATCCCAAGACAAGCAAAAAAAACAGACATCAGGACAGATGAAAACTTAAAATACGTACAGTAATACAAAATAATATAAAATAAAAAAAATAAATACATAGGTTTGTGCAAAATATGATCATAGTCACTGTAAAAATAATAAAATATGTGCAAAATGTGCATAGGTATATACAGATTGAGTGTCCAAAAAGTACAATGAAGCGACATGCTGTCCATAGATGTGCAAATGGAGGGCTAACAGTCCTAGCCTAAGGCAGCGTTATACATCCTGACAGCCGCCAGGAGGAAAGACCTGCGGAAACTTTCTTTTGAACACCATAGCTGGAGCAGTCTGGTGCTAAAAGTGCTCCGCTGCCCAATAACAGTCCCATGAAGCAGATGAGAGGCATTGATCATGATGGCTGTGAGCTTGGTCAGCATTCTCCTCTCAGCCACCACCTCCAGGGGGTCAAGGTTCAGCCCTAACACAAAGCCAGCCTTCTTGATAAGGTCATTGAGCCTATTTGCATCTCTTGTCATGATGCTGCTGCCCCAGCACACAACAGCACAGAAGATGGCTGCCGCCACCACTGATTCATAAAAAATGTGTAGCAGTGTTCCACACACACCAAAGAACTTGAGCCTCCTAAGAAAATAGAGTCAGCTCTGACCTTTCTTGTACAGGGCGTCAGTGTTACCAGACCCTGGATGGAAACAGGGTTCAGCGGAGACTTATTCCTTCGAAAGTCCAGGACCATTTCTTTGGTCTTGCTGATGTTTAGCTGGAGATGGTTAAGATGACACCACTCCACAAAGTTGGTAATCAAGCTCCTATATTCCTCCTCCCTCCCTTCTCTAATACACCCCACAATTGCAGAGTCATCCGAAAGCGTCTGCAGATGACATGTCTCAGAGTTGTACCTGAAGTCAAAGGTGAACAGGAATGGAGCAAGGACAGCCCCCTGTGGAGCCCCAGTACTGCTAACAACCTGTTCGGACACACAGCTCTGTAGCCGTACATACTGTGGCCTGCAGATCAGATAGTCTATAATCCAGGACACCAGGAGAGTGTCCACCTGCGCCGCCCTTAGCTTATCTCTCAGTAAAGGTGGATGGATGTTGTTAAAGGCACTGGAGAAGTCAAAGAACATAACTCTCACAATGCTCCCCGTCTTCTCCAGGTGAGAGTTAGCTCTGTGTAGCAGATAGATGACTGCATCCTCCACTCCCAAGTGTGACCGGTAGGCGAACTGAAGGGGTCCAGTGCTGTACTCACCAGGGTCCTAAGGTGGTCCAGTACAAGCCTTTCCAGAGTTTTAACATTTTCAAAAGTAATGCAACATGGAACACCTGAGCAATTAAGAACAACTAGCAGCCATTTGTCCCAGTTCCGCTTACCTGAAATGACGGGAGTGAACCCAGCAAATGGCATTGTTCTAACATGGCTAAATCGGAGTGCAAAATAATACCCCAAAACAGAAGATGAAATTCTCTATTTTTGTCTAATATTAATCTTTTTCATGAAGCACTCATTTCATTAACACAACAAAAATGACAAATTTCACTTCACTGTCCCCATACCTTTAGAAGGCTTTTCACTGTATCTCACTATATTATAACACATACATATGTGACAGAAGCAGATGATTCTATGACAGAAATATAACAAAATTTACATTGTAATTAGTTTTTGTGATTTACTGTATCATTTGAGTATGTTTTGTTAAGTGTTATGAGACAGTATGTTTATGTTTTCCTATTATTTTTACAGCAGCAAAGAATGAACTAAAAATAATGAACATTTTGGATTAGTGGATACCTTTATAAAACTGTTTCAATAGTTAAGAGATGGTGCAATCCCTTATAAAATATATATTTAACTTTATGTAATCACAAATTTCAAGTAAACTTCTGAATATACAGAAACATGACAATCCATGGAATAAGGAATGTACAGTGACAGTCAAAGCCTGAAAAGTTAAAGAAATGAAATATGCAACACCAACAAAAAACACGAAAACTGAAAAACATTCGGCAATACACTAAATATTCCTTGTTTACGAGGCAGCTAATTGTTTTACTGGTGGTTTCTGGATTTTTCATTCCAGTTTTTTTTCTCGCTATTATCTTCCTGTCTGTTCATTACTACACGGGAGAAGATAAATTTAGCATTTTATGTCGAGAGAAACAGAGTATGTATGTAAAAAGAGTCTGCATACTGTAACAGCTTTATTTCTGGCTTAAGGCCGCCAAAATACTACAGTACGAACAAAAACCGTGCCATCTCCACACAACTGCTGACAGCCTCAGTTAGCAGTTGGAGCATGTCAGCTAAAAACTGAAATATCTGATGACGTACTTTCCTATTAACCTTCAGTGTACAATTCAATTTCTTCCGCTTTCCGTCCTTCCGCTTTCCCTCCTTGACCAATAGAATTTTTTTTTTAATAGAGGCTATAATTCCGATATGACAAAAAGTTAAAAACTGAAATAAGCGCGGAATCGGATTCAGGAGTTCTGTTTTCTCTGAGCAGAGGTTTACATGTTGCTACTGTAGCTTCACGGAGCTCTGTGTGAGGGTAAGTTATACAAAGACGTTTGCTTAATATTCTTCAGAACGCCCCTAAAATATTGCTATAAATTATAATTTTAAGGGATGAGTTTTTTTGTCTGGTTTGCTTTTATTGCATTTTTTTTTGCTATTTATTTTTATTGCTTGAAAGATAAACATTTTCCTTGCAACAGTTTAACATTCTGCAAAACTGTATCAGATATACAGTAGCTAATCGCAAACAGGATTGCACTTCTTGTGTAGCTAGACCTGTGCAGTACGGTGCATTCAAGCGCGCATAAATATAGTCTTAGAAGCAGAAAGAGGCTTAACAGGGCGAAATGGAATTTTAAATAGATTTTTTAAGCAATGTGAAAGTTTAAGGCACTTGACGGGACTTTTTTGTGTCTAAGAATTGATTGCAAAATTGTCTTGCGTGCGAGTCCTACACTGGACTGGCATTCTGTCTTGGTTTAGACTCGCCTTGCACCTTTATGCTTCTATAGGCTCCTAAACCCTTGTTTTGAATAAGCAGGTTTCTGATGTCGGATAGTTTATTTTCCGAGAAGGTTTTGCACGATTTATATTTTAAAAATCAGATTAGAAGAGCAAGGGAAATTACGTAGTGAGGCAAAGTCTGTAGTTTGTCGCCGTTATCTGGTTAACTCCAAATTAATGATAGTTAAATGTTGTGTAATCTTTTACTAAAAGGCATGAGTTTTGTATGATCTTTGGACCTTCAGTCTGTTGGTTAGGAAAAAATTATGGTAGTGACTTACAGTACAAGAATACATCTGCAATGTAAGTGGCAGCAGACTGGTTACTTGAGAAAAACTGTCATGTAAAACCATGTGTAGAATTCGGTCTTCCTTAAACCTGGGCAGTCAAAGTCCTGTCATCCAGCATTGAATCATATTTTTGTTCCTGCTTTTTGTGATAAAATTACTGGATTTATTGTATTTATCTGAGAATTTAGAGTTCTTCCACATGCAGATGTCATTGAAAAATGTCCTGTAAAAAGATCTGGGAAGCTTTTATTGGTTAAAACGGTTTGGTTGTACATACGGATATGTTGTATTTCACACCTAGGATCTCAATGATAATCGAATTCAGGGAGAATATATATAATCTTAATCCAGTACAAACTATTACAATTTCTGGAAGACGTAACTAGTGTTTATTGTTGATTTTGATTCACTTCACAAAAACAATTTGACAAATGGCTAACAAATTGGCACCTTGTTTTAACATAAAGGGGAATATGGTAGCTCTGCACCACTTTTTTAGTTTTACAAATTTTCAAAGAAAATGTGATGTCTTGTTGGGTGTCATGGTGGCACAGTGGTTAGCGTTGCTGCCTCACAGTGCTGGGGCCCTGGGTTCATTTGTGGGCCTAGGGTGCTGTTTGTGTGGAGTTTGCATGTTCCTCCCATGTTTAAGAGGGTTTTTGCCTGGTGCTCCAATTTTTGCCTGCAGTCCAAAGATAGACTGGTAGGTTAATTGGCTGCTAGAAAAAATGGCCCTGGTGTGTGTTTGTGCATGTGTGTCTATGTCTGCCCTGCAAAACGCTGGTATCCAATCCAGGGTATATCCCACCTTGTAATCTGAAAAGGCTCTGGCTCCCCCACGACCCTGAATTGCATGAAGAGGTACGAAAATGGATATGGATAGATATTTCTTGTTTTTATCAGTGCACAGAAGTGTCGTCATGGCTGCATTTTTCTTCTTTTTACTCTCCATCTTTTCACAGAAATTCTTGTTCCTGGTAAAGGGTCATGGCAGTCTGGAGCCTAGATCCTGGAATGACAGACCACAGTGCAAGACTGCACCTTGTTTCCCTTTACAGCTTTTACAGGCCATACACAAGCTCCTAGGATTTCAGAAGTTATTTTACTGTTACTCTGTTTTATGGGAAAAAAACACCTTTAATCAAGATGGCTAGCCTTGTGCAGAATGTTTTTCATTTTTAAGTTTCTCCAATCAAACAGCAAACTGGAACACTGAAAAAAAGGATTAGAAGTACCCGTATGTAAATAACTATCCATACATTGTTGGAAACTGCAGTGTTTGAACATTTGTGTTAAATCGCTAATCTAGTTTATTCCATGAATGTTATTTGCTTAATCTTGACATCCCTGTATTTTAGCTTCCACTTGAAGTCTAGTATCTCCAAACAGAGTGAGATGTAATTTATGATAATGTTCACAGACACACTATAATTGCTTAGTTAATTACACACTGGCATTTAATGGAAGGTTTTGCAAAATCTCAAAAGGCATGGCTTTTCCACTCTCCTAAACTAATTAGAATAATTCCCCATTGTCTCCTCACTTTAGAGAAATACATATTCTAGCAGATCATTATATACCAAATGTCTCTAGTGTTGTTGTAGGTTACCAGAATCTATAGCTAATGGCAACAAATTCCATTCTAATGTGTGCAGATAGTCAATAAAAAATATACAATGCAGTATAATTATTAATTAGTAGGATGAAAAATGTTGAGGCCCAGGAAATGTAATGTCATCGTGTGGGCCGTGGTGAAACTGAGTTTGATATTGCAGTATTAGAGGCTTAGTGAAAACCTTTCACAGCTCTTGAATAGGTCTTTGAAGAGTACACATGGCTTTTCTGTTAAGGCAACTAACTCTGACTTTCAAAAATTCTAATCAAAATGTTGTACTTACTGTAAATCTTCATAGAATGAAGATCATATGAGGCTTTCCCTAGTCTCTGTGCATGTTATTCTCATGTGGGACTATAAGTATCTTTTTACTCATGGTTTTGGTGTGTCCAGGTGTAGTTTACTTTGGAACAGGTTTCTTTAACCTTGTCCTCAGATTCTAGGTCTGATTGCCTGATCTGACTTCAATGAAGATTATGTACATTGGAAAAAAAACACATTCCCTCCCCTGCCATCAGTTTATTCTACCATATTGTGACATTATTGATATTGAACTCTCTACTGGTACTGTACAGGTAAATCTCAGATCTGCTGGCATCAGGACAGGACTGCTGCAGTCAAATTATCACCCTGTCCTTATATTGTAGCTGTCTGAATTTTCTTTAGGGGCTCTTTGGTACAGTAAGAAACTCAAATGTGGGTTGTCACATACTGTGTAATACGGATAGAACTATTAGGGTTTTGACAGTGTTCAGATTTTGTGTAGTTTTGGTCTTATTTACTGTTTTTGAAAAATGTCAAATGAAAACTGCTTATCGAAAATAATCCTACCCTTGCAATCATAATCATGTAAAAGTTACACTTAGAAGAACAGTATCCTGTGAGTATAGGTTTTGGAATCCAAAACAAAAGTGATTTTGGATTTCACTGTGAACTGTAGAAAGCTATGAAAGTTATGAGCACATTTCCATATGAGGGTGGAACAACTGATTTTGCTTTCAACAAGTCAGTATATATGAATATTTGTTTTCAATTTGTATTTTTTTTAATTACCATTTGCTTTTTTTCTCGCCACCCATTTGACATTAATTAACATAGCTTTACTGCTATGGATTTCTTGTCATTCAGAGGAGGTGAGAACTATGCTTTCTTTGTCATTTGCATGTGCAAGAGCCGTTTGCCCTGTTGCAAACTGAGTCTTGTAAGACAGAGTTGTTGTGTTGCAGCTGTCACTGACAGCACCTGAAGGCATTTAGCAAACCACAGGAGTCACTGTTGAGCTATAAACACTGGACTTGAGTGGGCTCAAACCCAAGCTTGGACAGTTACATGCCACCATGGGAAATCCTGGTCATTGTGAGCCAGTGATTTGGCCAAGACGCAGGCTGCTTTATAAAGTTGCAGTATACAGTGCGGTCTGCACTCATAACAATGGCTTTCCGACAGGCCATTCAAAAGCCTGTGATTAATAATCACATTTTTTAAATTAATGAACAACTGTAGTCAGTCAATGAAGGAATTTACCACACCTTGCCAGAACTGTGCCAACTAACCTAATGTTCTGGTTAGTGAGCTGGCCCTGTTACATGTCATGAGGTGCTTGATTGTGACTAAAAGAATAGAAGAGGTTTGATTTTGTTCGGTTGTAGTTTATTTTGTAGTTTTTGGGAGCCATTAACTTCTTTTCTTTCTTTATTTCAGTTAACATTGTATCCAGTATGGGCCGACTTGATGGGAAGCTGATTGTCATGTCAGCTGCTGCCCAGGGAATTGGAAGGGCTGCAGCTTTGGTAATATATGGTATTTTATATGGAAGGAATCTCTGAGACCATTGCCATTGAAGCTACATATAATCATTTCCATGTTGTTGTTCAGACAGGCGGCTCACCAACATCTTTTATGTGTTTTATCCTTTTTCGGGGGTTAAATCGTAATTAATGGTGAAAATGAATGTACATTGTTAATGATTTGTAACTAAATAGTACCAAATATTAAATTTTCATTCTTAAATTTCCATGATGTACTGACAGATCAGGGGTAAAGTATGGGAAAGGAGCACCGCAGTCTAGAATCCTGTGGCTTGTGAGGGGCTATAAAAAACTGCAGATCGGCTTTGCAGAACAGCTTCATACCTTCTTTTTAAGAAAAATATAAAGCTCATTATTAATGTGCAATGTATTTGGCTGATGCTTTTATCCAATGTGTATTTTTATCCACTTGTGAAGCTGGACATTGTACTGGAGTGGTCAGTGAGGTACTGTACCAAGGGACAAGGGTACAGCAGAGACCTACCTCTCAATCTCCCGGTCAAATCATGATCTGTTCTCCATACTGCTTCCACACACTAAGACACTCTATAGTACAGAAATGGCACTTTGTAGCAACAGTGAGCTCACTCACATTGGCATACTGTATCTCTGTGTAAACTGGGTGTTTAGATGTAAACTAAATATAATTTTAAAGCTATTTTACAACATTGTTTGTGAGGGAAGACTATTTTAAGATCTAAATTTAATCTGAATTTAAGAATTCTACAAAAGTGACATTAAATAAGAGCTAGAGATACTGAACATGTAGCAAAAGGAAGAAGCTAAACATAAGGAACAATGAACAAGACAGCATCATAAACTGTAAAATCAAAAGTCGTAGTTGAAGATGTTTATGTAACATGTATGCTGAAAGACAAAACTGCTGCATTTTTATAAGCCTCCCTTAAGCTATACATCACTATAGTAGCCCTTCATTCTCACAATTATAACTTAAGTCTCTGTTTCTGAACAGAAATGAAAGAGTTACTGTACAACTGCAGGTGATTTTTATTTTCAATTAGATTGATTAGATTAAGCACATCAACATCCCATTAAGACTTATCTCCAGATAATTAGTAGCCGCTTTCCATCTGGTCACACTTAAAAACCTCCGCAGTGTTCCAGTGTTAATCTTTTTCTGACCCTAATTAGTGATATAAATTCCCACTGTTATAGAAAATAGTTCATACTCAAGACTAGAGGCTTATCAGGCTGGAATGTATCAATTTACTGTAATGTTCAGCAGACTGAGAGCATGTGATTCCCTTCAGGGTGGGATGCTAATCCTTTGCTGGGTACTCCAAGCAATTTTGATACAATTCTTAGAAAATGCATTCACCTACTGTATGCAGCGATGTCCCATTTCCTCCCATGATCTCCCTTGCCTGCAGGGACAATCGGATCCACTGTCCTTATAGTTTCATAACTTTCATGAACATGCCACTGAAGATAACTACTTTCTTGAAAAAAAAAACAAATACCTCTTGCTAAAAATAGGTTTAAATAACAATTTTAAAAATGGCAGTTTTTTTTTGTACCAATAACATTTTAAGATGGCCAATTTGTGAAACTTGATTAATTTTTAACTAAACCATGATTCATTTTTTTAAACTACAGTTCCTGCACTTCTTCTGGTTGACTTGGCATCAGATAGAAAGCCAATGCAGTTCTTAGTAAATAGAATGTGAAGTAGCAGACAGGGGATAAGTTAACACTAGTGATGTTTGGCCAATTCGTGTTTGAGTTCAGAGTCTCTCAGAGCTGTCAGAGTTCTGAATGAGCCTAGTCCTGAACCCCCAGACAGACTGTAATTTGTGTCATCTTCTTACTATTGCCCACAATCTTCAGTGATGGCTACCACGAGCCATTTCTCACAAAATATAAAAAATAATTAAATCGTAAAAAATACATATCTCCCTTTTTATTTTTTTGTCATCAGAAGAATAACCTTTTTTTCTTTGTACATACTTAGGCATTTGCCAAAGAAGGTGCTCAAGTCATCGCTACAGATATCAATGAAGAAAATCTTAAAGAATTGGATAGTTACCCAGGTGAGTTGCTGTTAAGAATGTAACTGCTTTCTTGTTTCTGTCTCTGAAGGACAGTTTAGTGCTGCCATCTGGTGTGCAATAAAGAGTAAAAAAATAGATGAAACCGGATACAGTGTTTAGTTTATTTATATAGGCTCCCTCTTTCACTGAAGACTTTGTGGATGTTATCTTCTAGGTAAATTATAGAAATAACTTGTATTCAGTTCATGATCTTCTTCTTCTTTTTCACAGCCTTAGTCCCAGACTGTCCTGGGAATCAGCTGCTTTGGTTGCTCTTCTCCACTTGTCTCTGTCGAGCACATCTTCCTCACTCACTTCACATACCTCCATATCTTTTCTCACACAATCTATCCATCTCTATCTAGGCCTGCCTCTTCCCCTGTCACCTTCCACCTCAAATTCCATTACCCTCTTTCTTACTTCCTCAACGTCCCTCCTCATGATATGTCCATACCACCGTAACCTCGCCTCTCGCATCTTCTCAACTACATCCACCACCCTACATCGTCTGCGGATTTCTTCTTTTCTGATCTTATCCTTCATTGAAATCTGCAGAATCCATTTCAACATCCTCATTTCAGTTCTTCTCATCACGTTCTCTTCCCTCTTTCCAACTGCCAAACATTTAGCTCCATATAGTAGTACAGGTCTAATCACAGTCTTGTACATTTTGCACTTTAACTTTTCTAGGAATTTTCCTGTCACAGATTATTCCAGTTATTTCTCTCCACTTTACCAGTTTTGATCCAAGGTATTTAAAGCCATCAACCTGTTTCAGTTTTCCTCCATTTGTCTCCTCAGCATTGGTCATTGTATCTCCTCTTCTCTTTTATTCCTCTATAGTTTTTACAATCCATTGGGTCTCCTTTCTCCTTATAGATGG